AAAAAAAAAATGCTAATGTGCAGTAAATTCAAGAACAATATATACGATTAATAATGATTTTTGCCTAAGTGGTGGGATTGTAGGGGTTTTAATTTTCTTTGGACTTTTTGGTACTTTCAAAATTATCTGTGATGTACATATAACACTTAGAAATGCAATAAAAATTCCAATAACGTCCTAGATACAGTTAGTACTTTAACTTCTAGAAAGGAGGTAATAATAGTAAGACAATTCTGCAGTCACTGAACTAGACTGAACCAATCTTCACCCAGAAAGAAAGCAGGAGCAAGATTGCCTATCCGTTAAATACATGAGTTTGCATTATAACAATGGGAAGTTTGGCAGAGAAAAAAATTGAAAATTTCATGAAAAAAGCAAGGTTTCCAACTTCCGTTCTAAATTACTCATATATGATATTTGGGGAACATAATTGAGCAGGATTTCTTTAAGCTAAAACGTGTGTTATCAGAGGGAAATTCTCACTAATGTCTCTTCCTTCCTCAGCGCTTTTCACCAAATCCAACGAGAATATTCTTTCTGCTTGGATGGAACGAGGCTACTATCTGCGTGAACCTGCTCTTCCTCAGTCAGTCGCATTGCTCAGCGAGTCCCGTTCCTGTTAAAACAACACCTTGTAAGTCATGTGGAAAGAGGCTGCAGACTGAACAAACATGCTGACTAGTTTTTCTTTCTTCTTTTTTTTTTTTTAAAAAAGATCAACATGGGAAAGTGAGCAAGTCTTTGTTTTTCCCATCCTTATCCTTTATCAATAAATAAACATGAGCTCTTGATACTCTTCTTCACTAACTGGGGAGCCCTGATTTGGACCATATTCTGGCCTCTGTGTTAAAGTGTAAATTTCAGTGCAGGGTTAGAGGGTTAGACAGCATGGAGCAATGCCACGCACAATAGAGGTGAAACACCAGTTAGTGGGTGCTCCAGGGTTCTCACTGCCTGCCTGCAAGATTTCTCTGTAGCTCTTTCCTTTTGCGGTATGTTTCCAGCATAAACATCTTTGGTAAATGAGAACGTTTAGACTTAAACTAAGAAATAAAGATGGAGCACTGGAGAATTGTAATAATCTATTTTACAATTGATGTTGTAGCTTCCATTTTCATGTATCTTGTTAAATAAAAGTAAATTACGTCTTTAAATTGCAGATTCACAGTTTGAGAACTGAGATTGAACATCTTTAAAAAAGATAATTTTTAATACAAGGCAGAAAATTTAGGCAAGACAGGTAAACAAAATGAATAACTGATTTGTGATCTCCCCAGGCTCTTTAGATGGGTATCACACTACCCATTTTGTTTATATATTTTATAAAATTAAGATCACATTCTTTTTTTTTTTTTTT